GATGGCACCGGAAGTGATGCTAGGTGAGAGGTACGACGACAAGGCGGATATGTTCTCGTTCGGTGTTTTGCTGTCTGAATTGGATGTGCATGTACGTCCGTACTCGCACGCGAAGGAGAATGGAAAAGCTCCAGTTGCCGATGCTGTCATTTTGCAGAAGGTTGCTCTAGGTACACTGCAGGTCGAGTTTTCATCGAGTTCGTTGGAGTCAATGGTGGATCTGGGCTTGGCGTGTGTGTCACTGGACCCAACAAAGCGGCCATCTTCAGCCGAGGCACTCTATCGGCTACACACGGTCTTATCACAGGAGCTTTAGCTATCCAGATAACCTTACAGCCAGACTAATCCACACCAAGGACTAATCATTTTTTCAGAATCTGAAAGCTTACAGTATTACTTTATAAGTTAGCAATTTGTTTGGCAATTTGGCAAAATGGAGTTGGTGTGCAGACGATCCCCTCGGTAGTTATAGCGTTGAAAACGGCCAATTTATTCCTGGCTAAGGGTATTCCTATCCACGAATGTACCATAAAAATGGATCCGAGTACCTTCAGTTTGGAACAGTGCACAAAATATACTAATGGAGACGACTGATGTAGCCCGTTACTGGCGATTCACCCTGTTTTGCTCTCCTATTGCCAGTTTTGCCTCACCACACAAAGATACCCTCCTCTCAACCATACCTAGTTTGTCCCAGAGCTAAATACATGGGCTCACAGAATCTACGGTCTTGGAAGCTATTGATACGCTGAACAGCACTGGACTCACTTCCGGTCTCGCAGTTAGATGGCATGAAGGGTGCGCCAGTCTACACCCGACCAGGTACTTGCCAGTTGGGTTTCGTGGGGTGAAGACTCTTCAGAAGAGGGTGTTGCCGTCACTGGTGTGCAATAGAGTGAAAGCTGAGTACTTCTCCGTGATCCTAAAGCTCGAATCACGTCCAAAATAGGCACCATCGGTTCAACATTCGGATCATGGCAGCAACAATGCATTTATGACTTTTCCATAGTTAAGAACCCCAGAATAGAAATAATTGACTTCCAATTTTGACTGGTCAACGGGCGCTAATTCGTTGCTATTGAGGGAGTTTTCCATTCCTAGGGATTACTACCGAGAGGATCGTCTAGACATGCAGTTCAAGTCTATTTTAAAGATCTAAAATAGGTATCTCCAGTGGGCAACAGCTTGAAAATCTCGATCTTGGTGAACCATTAGTCAACGGCGAATGAAGAACACTGTCATGAAGCTGCAGGTTACCATAATATAGGTCTGTCATTCTCGTTTCTGTTCTGAACAGTGTCATGAACTCATGACTCATGAGTTCCTTACTACGCGTTAAATTCACCAACAATGGTAAAGTTGACGAAATCATTGCCGGTTCTTCTTCGTCAAATGCAAGTTGTGATATGTTCTAGTCGTTCCCGACGCGTTTCCTTGCAATCCATGTTGAAAAAAGACAGTAAGGTCTACTGTACCGCCGTTGTGTGCTGATTAAGTTGTACAGTGGTAGCAGATGTGTGGCACAGTGCCACTGGAACTGGGGCAGGTACGAACACCCTCACATTACCATTGAGAACGTTGGGTTGAATTGAGAGCGACTGGCGTGACCCAGGGCATTGACCGTGAATTTCATGACTTCGCTGTGGATACTGCGCTTGATCCCGCTGCTTGTGGTCGCGTTCAGGCCCGTTCATGCGGTCACAATGGAAGCCGTCGAGATTTTCTCGGGCGTCAACTGTGCTGGAACGCCAGACGTGTTGGCCATGTACAATGTGTCTGCGAGCTGCGCCGTGGACGCGTGCAGTGATATCAACTTCGGCAATGACACGTACTACATCAGCCGGGCGTGTAACATCTCGGACAGATTTGCTCATACTCAACAGGTATTCGGAGACTTCACGTACGTGATCATGGAGACATACGACAAC